CAAACTAGTTATACGCTCAATTATTATTCACATCACTGGAACGTAGAAATAAATGTGTATGCTTCCTTTGGAATTTAAAACAGAGCAACTTTTGGTTCCACCGTGTATATATGCAATGAATTGTGGTAACAAGGAAGAGCTCGTTAAAATTCGGGGTCAAAACAATGCAGTTCTAGAACCACGAAGTAAATCTCCATCGTTCCGCTGTTTAATATAACAACTAAAAAAAGAAGACAGATTGCTATTTTTCTTTTTATAAGTCGCTGAACCTCTGCGCTATTTCCTTTATATTACGATATATGTTTTTTTGCACAAGGAGTCTATTCAATAGGAATACAAGGTAAGATTCCACTGAATGGCTTTATTTATACGGTGGTCTTGCTAAAAGTTAAGTGATATTCCGTGCAATACGTAATTTTGAGTTGTCGTAGGTATTTGATTATTATTTGTTGAATAATCTGTAAATGTCATGCTAAATAAATAGCACAACAAATGTTTACCATGGCGGTTACTCTGATATTTTATGTTCATGATGTACTTAAATCAATAAAGAATCGGTTCGTTCACCTACATCACTTACTGTAAATAATAAACCTAATTACTTTTACTACAACGGGGTGTGTTAGGGTAACCAAAATTAATTTGTAAATAATCGGGAAATAATTGATTTAAAACAATAATTAAGACGTTTTGAATAAATCACCCATTTTTTTATAGGCATACATACAAAAGGAGACTGTATGTTATTACTAATAAAATAACCAAAAGGACTTGCCTTCTGATAACCAAAACAATCTATTAATTTGCGGATACTTATATTGATGCTGTTCTGATTCGGGTCTGAAGGTTGTCGTTGGTTGGACTTGATTCCTAACGTTTCGCTAGCACGAGTGGCGAGCTTCTTCAGTGGTCCTTCTCGAATCAGAACAGCATCAGTTCATCTACTAGACCATCAGCCGGTAGCGAAGTCCTCTACCAATTTGCGGATACGTGTTTCGCTCATTCGTATTATGAGATTGAAGATACTGAAGATTACCTACTTCTTTGTTGTTATTTTTGATACCCAATAAATAAAATAATGCTTGCTTTTTTGATTAACATTTCCTAATGGAGTTTTGGTACCCGTAAAAAGCTGAAAATAGTAATGGGAGAAGTGCCGCACTGCTGTTCGAAAATACGCTATTTATAATTTTCGGTAAACTATGAGTTCAATAGAAGTGTTATATAGTTCATATAGAAGCTCAAAAATGGGACAGAGAGACATTCCATGAATGCCTTCTAATTCTTCGGTTGAAGAGAGCCCAAAAAATTCTAAACTCCTTGAAAATGGAAAATGTAAAATATTGGATCGATATTGTTTTCCGGGTTCAATATCATGATCCATGGAATTTTGAAGTTCCAAATTGATATCAGCACCCGCTAAATCAGAAAGAAATTACAAAATTCTGTAAATTACCACAAAACAGCCCTCAAAACACTACCGAATTGATATACGCCAACTGTGTAAAACTGAAAACTACAAGATATTGTGGTGTGCCAATAAATGCATATAATCCAAAATTGTTAGAAAACGATTCGAAAAACTTCAGTTATCAGACGAATCCAAAGCTAAAGAAACTCTGGATTCAATTTTTTTTCTCTTATTGTGATATGTAAAAGATCATAAACAAAATGGGTTGTAAATATTTTGATATAAAATGATTGATGTTGATTTTACATGAACAAAAATTATTTGCAACCCTATTTTGGCCCTGCTCATTCACGCTATAAGCAAACTATTTTGGCATCAGTGTTTTTTTTCAAATTAAAACGAGTGACAAAGGCAAATAAGGGAGCATATAGAAGAATTATTTGTTGCTGAACTGAAGAAACTATAACATAACTCAATGACTGAACAGAAAAATATGAAATATACTCAATCTTCGCAGCTGGTGACATAGTGCAAGCACCACTATTAGTATAGAAAAACTTCTATATTTAAAAAATGAGCAAATGCCTGCAAAGTTTTCTTAAAAAATATTTTTACTTAAGTTAATGTAGAAAATTAAATAGGTACTACAAAAAGGGAAATCTATTTTGTATTTCACATTTGAAATAAGAAATCAAAAAAGTATTTGCATTTTGTATTTAAATACTTTTAAAAACCATTTTGCACATCTCTAGATGTATGGATGAAATTCACAGGTTAGATATTTTTTAGGTTCAGAAGAATCGGCTTAGGTCTTATTATCGCAAAAAATCGTCTTCTGCAGGGATTACTAACTAGAGCATATTTACCGGTACTAATATTCAAGTTCTCGGATTTTTTAATTTGTTGACATAAACGTTGTTCGTTCAATCACAGACTCTCATTCTTTCAATGAAAATCCGATCATTGATCTGGCCCTTTTCGAATCCAAATATCGCGTACTTCTTTTCGTTAAAATTTCATCACAGTACGTACCAGGATCAGGATCAGGATCAGGATAGATGTTGTTGTAGTGTAATTAATTAAGGTGCATTATGCATTCGGAAAAAAGAGTAATGTAAGCAAATAATATGGGCCTTCCGAGACCCTCGTGAGGACGGGGGCCCTGGGCCCGTTCCCCGTGTGCCCTTATACTAAAGACAGTACTGGTTATAGTGTAGAAATATTAAACATTCTGCCCCATTTGCTCAACCTGTTCTTTTTTTTTCTTCATGGACATGATCCGCTTCGGAAAATAATCGCTCGCTATACACACTGCTTGCAGGTGCACATAGAAAACACTTAAGCTTATTAACAGGCCAAGTTTGCATATCTTTGTTTTATGTCTTGCCCACTACTCAAATTAAATCCTATGTACCGAGTAGTTTGGCGGTGTACTCAGTTTGGCAGGCATAAAATCGAGTAATAGGTACGTAATATATTCGGTACACTATTAATTGGGAAAAATTGTACTCAACCCATTCCTAGTAGGGATAAAACGAAATGGAGAAAATGAAAAAGGAAAATTGCTACGTAAGCGAAAATAATAAATATTACAATTTGGACCCGAATTTGTAAAAATAAAATCCTAGCAGAAATAACTTTACTAGGTATTTTTGTGGTTATTACAAATTTAATTGTAATAATTAAGAAACTTGAAATAATTTTTAAAAAAACGTCAAAATTGAGATCATTAAAAGTTGCCTAATAAATTCTACTATTTCTTCGGATGTTTCAGTCATTTAAGTACAATCGAAAATTGTAATTTTTACGTTGTCATAAGAATTTAGTTTTCTCCCTTGATAAACTGTTTAAAACAGGAAAACATTACATATTAAACATTCTTTAAATTCCTTCGGTGAGAGTAAAACTACTAATTGATTACAGGTATCTCACAGGGTTGGCATGTTTAAAACACGTATTTTAAATACTGTTAAAAACACAACTAGTTAGTTAATGATGTCAAGACGCCAAGATGCTACGATAAAAAAACTTATTCAAAAAGTTTCAAACATGTGTTCAAAATAGACGTAAAAAAATGTTTAAAACATATGAACACATGTTTAAAACGTTTTGTTTCACAAATTTGATAAAATACTTATTTTCCATGTTGAGAGATAGACCTAGATTAGATTACATTCTACAAATAGTTAAGGATGTGGGATGCTCTTAGGGATGTTTAGGGAAATTAGCTTATGATAGGAAACAGTGAAGCTCCTGTCTAACCAGTTCTGGACTGGCAGCCCCACGGTGATAACGTGAGCGGATGACAACGCTAATTTGCAACGAATTATTCACGTCCAAGTAAAATATTTCTTTTTTTGGTAAAGGTCCAGATGATGGCGATCGAAAGAGGAGGTCTCCCCCATCACTGTACCATAAAAAGTTCGTGGTGGTCTCTACCCCATAAAAACTTATGGGGATTAGATGATGCCCCCCTACCCCCGAAGGAGGTGGGGGTAGGGGGGTCGAAAGAGGGTGGTCACCTGAGTAAAACCCCATAAAAAGTTTGAGGGGGTCTCACCCCCATAAGTTATGGGGGTTGAAAGTTGATTATTTTGACAATTTTCATACACTATAATTCAAATAAAATTCAATAAAAAAATATTTTCAAGCGGGTGGAGGTGGGGGATCGAAAGAGGGTGGTCACTTGAACAAAACCCGATAACCTAACCTAACCTAACCTACCCTATTGATAAAGATATTTAAACAATGTTTTTTATAATTTTCTCAATATTTTTATGTATTTTTCCATTAGTTTTACCTTTGAATATTGTTTAAGAATGTCTATATAAATATTTACATGCCTAGAAATGTATAAAAATTGGCATATTTATTAACTTTGAAGCCCTATAATCTTTTATGGGGGTGAGACCGCCACGAACTTTTTATGGTACAGTGGTGGAGGAGACCTCCTCTTTTGATCCTCCCCACCTCCACCCCAAAGGGAGTTGGGGCCATCATCTAGACCTTTACCCTTGTTTTTATTTTAATTTAAAGTGGGTACAACTTTTCTTACGTATTTCGCCGTATGCGCTACAGATTTGCGCTTTTAATGATAAGAGACATTTTTTAAGCACAAAACTAATCATTATGTCAATTGGAACGTTTAAAAAGACATAAAAACACAAACAAATGTTTTTAACCAAACCTATTGTCTTAAAAGATTTTTAATTACGATAAAACGCAAACAGTAAATCTTAATTAAATTACAAATAGTCACTAATTTCGGATTATTACTTCATTGAAGTTTTCCTTTTTAATTAAAAAGCGGCTCCCTGAATGTGGCCTCGTATGTAACTATGTAAACGTAGGTATGTACGCCTGTTTCTGTTGCACACCGCATGACGAGCGAGCGGCAAGCAGGAACATTAAATGCGCTAGCGTTATCTGATGGAAACGCAATAGAGAATCCTGGCCGGTTGTGCGTGCATTTTGCGTCTTTGTTTTCCCGACTCGTGAGAAGGAGATTCATAATAGGCGAGCGAATTTTGGGCGCGCGCGCGAGCGCAGATTCGCCGTGAACCTCCGCTGCCGGCAGCGAACGCTGCGACTGTTTTCCGCGATCAGATGTTTTAACCTTGCGTTGTGATCGCGCAGCGGCGTTGGCCGTGCACCGTAGCGCGCTTACGTAATAGACCTATGCGAATGAATCTGCCCCGCGGCCTCCCAAGGCCCCCTCAGCCCCCCCTCCAATAATTTGGCAGCTCGCGAAACTTCGGTCAACATTTTTTCCTGGTTAACAGAAATAGCAGCTGGTCAAATTATTCGCGGTTGTTGCTTGCACTTCGCTTTTATTTTATTCGTTTTTCGTGCGTGCGTTTGTGCTGTCTTAATTCCTTCGACGCGAGGACGATTGTGACCGATACGTTTGCGCATTTAAAATGTTATTGTGACTTAGGTTATTTACTACATATATGTATTATTGTTGTGAGTGCGTATACGTATTTCCAATTGGACGGAAAACGAATGTTTGGCGGTAGTTATGGAAATGCCAGGTACGTTCAAGACCAAACGTATAATTATAGCCAACAAAAATATAATTAAGCGCATAAGTACAACGTAATTCAGCGCGTGTGTATTTCTGAACTCGCTGTTCTAACCAAGGCGGCGCATTACTCGTGGTGTAAATGGAAGAGCGATTACATGAATGCGCTTTGTATGTACACTAGAAATATTCCCACGTGTATACCGATTCGAACAACGAACTGTTGTACATAGACATGTACTTATGTATTTAAAATTGAATAGACGCTTAAAAGACGCTGTTTTTTCAAAATAATAATAATAATAAATAATTAAATATTTTTTTTAATTTACACTAACCTAAGCACCGATTCCTATACACTCGTATGCACGTGTTACTTTCGATTTCCTCAATACTGCAGCAATGCCCTTCAAAAAAAGCTCTTATTAAAATGGATAGGCGTTCGGTCATTTCTATTTCTTTTTTTTGCGATTATAATACAAACAGTAATAGATATGTCCTCGCAAAAGATCTGACTGCATTCATGAATCTAATTTTTGATATCTCAAGTTCATAGTGTGGCGTTCCGAAGTCGCATGCATTTATTGCAAAGTTAAAATAAAAAATAGCGAACACAAACTTAAAATTAGTTCAAATAATTTCAACTTGCCAATGTGTGTACATATTGCATAGAAGCAATCATGTACTTACAAATAAAAATAAATTACATGTCCTAAATGCCTCGAGTACGAGTGTATGTATTTGTTAATGTGTGTGTGTGTGTGTATATGTACGTGTGCGTATGTGCAAGTATCTGTAAATGTACGAACAGATTAGATATTTCAACGTATGTACTTTCGTTAACATGTGTATACATATAGTATGTGCATACATATGTGGGTGAAAAAAACGTTGCCTTTTTATCATTGCGGAAATAAATAACTACAATTATTATCTACTTTGCACTGTGTATTATGTACTAAACAAAAAATTTGATAACTTTTTCGAAAATAACCTTCATTTCGTCTTTTCGCCAAAAAGAAATAAGCATTAAATATTTTGTGAAAATTGATGAACCGATTTTGGTATTTTAGGGTTTGTTCTACTTGTAACCTTTGTCATTTTAATGCGTGGATGGTAATAACAATTTTATTTTTGATTAGATCCAGTCTCAAGGACCTTTTTTATCAAACATAGTATACATACATATTATCTAACACGGCTGCTATTTTGTTTCCATTTTCCTTATAATTTTGGAAAATAGGTAAAGTGTATACATCATCATCATAAGGTCATCAGTCCTAAGACTGTATACAACAATCTAAAATTGTGGGAACATCTACATCAACATACATAATACACAACTATATATCAGCCATAGTAAGTAAAATAGTTAAATATTTTGGTGTTTAAATATAAATTTCTTATCAAAACTGAAGTTAACCTGTTTAATTAATTTCGAAAATCTGACTATTATTTCGAAGAATCTCTTAGTTTTGGGCGTTTATTAGAATTTATTGTTGGTGGTATAAATTTTTTAAACACAATGTAACCTCTCTATAACGAAGCACTCACCATTTATTTGAGCATGGTTAGTTTTCGTTGTAACTTACATTCTTGATCTTGTTTAACAATATGGCATAATTGAACTGTGAATAGGGGTAGTAAAAGAAACGCTTCGTGCTTAGATGAAAGAATTGTAAATGTTCACTGCATTGAATTTCGTTTTATAAGTATATTTGGATATGTTTAGGCAAAAGTTGATATGAGTCCTTTCAGGGAACAGACTAGTCTATTCTAAGTTTGTGCCAAATCTAAATTTGAAAAAGAAAGCAACCTTACCTTACCTTGCTTAACATATCCGAACTTTAACGTAACCGAAGGTAACATAAATTTTGACGTTTAAAACTGCCAGTCAGTCTCTTTTTGGATTAGATAATCGTAATTTTCTTGTTAGACATAGTTACAATTAAGAATTTCAATGTCGGACTATAGTAGGTAATTAAATAAAATGTATAGTAAATATGCAACAATACAGTTTTGCATTATTACTTCATATCACTAGTAATAAACTGTGTGTTAATTGTTACTATTACATAATTACATGTATGGAAACAAAATCATTTTTTGCATAAAATCTGATCAAATATTTGTAGAGCGTAAATCAGTGTGTAAGAGGTTTCCTTGACAAAAATTTGTTTATGTTTCGTGTCCTTATATTTTTAAAAGCAAACTCGAATTGAAATTAAACCGTTATCATTAGGCAGTGCAATCGTAAATAAGTTTATTATGAAAAAATAATGCGATATTAGGTGCCTTCATAAATAATTGTTTTGTTCATGCAAATTTGACATGATGCTTTCCTGGAGTTAAGAGATAGATGTATGTACACGTATGCATTTCTGAAATTTTCGAAAATTTAAAATATAGATGTGTGAAGGAAAAACAACAGCCGTTGTTATCAGAGATCAGGTGGTAGATATTTTATTTTGAATTTACATTTCATGTCTAAACTTGAATGTTGACAGTTCAGTATTTTGAATATGCAAAATAGTGTTCGCGAATTCCTGGTAGCATGTATAATATTTTAATTTTACGCTACCTAACATGTTATACTCCAAGCTGACAAAAGTCATTTTTTTATTTTGTTTGTTTACTATATCATCAAATCTGTTAATTTCTCATTGCGTTCTCGCCTTGCGTATTTTTAGGTGGCATTTTTTAAGGTAATAAATTGCAGATCAGTTTTTTAAATTGCGGGTTGTGACCCGTGAACATCAGCCCATAAAATAAAAAAATATATTTTTTTTTTGAAAAGTTCACACTCGTATAAATTAAAGAAAATAAAAACACAGGCGGATCGTTACAGTTTTAATATAAATATTTTCGGCAATTATGTCTAAATATGAGGGTTGTTTCAAAAGTAATGCATATCGTATTTTAGTAGATAGTTGATCAATGAGTAGAGTAATTGTGTACTTTAGTTCAGAGTTTACGGAAGATTGAAAAAAACTCGAAGACGATCCCCTTTCCAATAATCAAAAATTGGAGACGCGCCAGATAGCGACTTTGCCGAGTACCAGATAACCAGGGACCCGGCAAAACCATTACAGTTAGTGGTTCATGTAATCGTTTTGGCAGGCTTTCCATTAAATAGCACCCTCACCAATGCCCAAAACCACATTAAGTCCTGTTCAAAAAAGTTGTTTAAACACTAAACCAATGAAATTTTAATTCTTGGTTGGCAGATTTTCAACCAGATGGTCGAGTTGAAACCGTTGAAATGATCCTATAAAGTTTACAAACACCAAAAGTGTGCAAGGTGACAAAATCATGCTAATAAGTTATCGTTAATCGAAACCTGATATATCAACAAGCGACAGAAATTGTTATTACAGTTCTGCTATTAAATAGCAGCTATTTGATGTATTCATATTCACGAGAAAAGTAAACATAGGAGTAAATCGAAATAACAAACAGTATAGTAATCAATAAACAATACCAATTTGGACAAATGACCTACCCCAATACAGTTTTAATTACCAATTTTCATTAAGTAGGTTTTTTTGTTATACTCATTGAATTATTATTATTGCTGTCGTTTGTTTTCTCTTTTTTCTTTGGTAGAATTACGCGGCACTGACGGGTAGGCGGCGTCATTATCCGGTACTGGCCGGATCTTAAAAAAAGTGCCAGGAGGAAATGCCGTACTTTCTTCCCTCGGCGCGTAATAATTTTTTGTTTTCCTTTCATATACACGTACATACAAACGTCTGCAAACTTAAGATACATAATAGTTTTCGGATAATTCGCAGTGTAATGATACGGAAAATGGAATTTTTAAAGTCGAAATTCATAAAGAACTGTTTCGCGTTTTAGTGACCGTATATGCGGATGGCACTTAACATGGCCGAAACAAAGAACTTCCGCATAAATATCAAAGAGGCGTTCGCTCAAATGTTTCAAGGTTACCTAGTCGTGACAACTACCAACACACACTTGGGCACAATTACAACCATATAAACGCATTTGTACAAACAGTACGTCCCAAATTAGTATTTCTCTGTTCCTGTAAGCAAGTTTTTCTGCACATTGAATGTTTCGTAAAATATCCCCGTAAATTTAGATACAAATTACAAATGCATTTCAACTATTCATTCACCTGTTAATATATGCAAGTATGTTAATGTATACGAGGATACGACAAGTAAATGTGTTTTAGCTTTTACAAATAGAGGCCAACCAGTATTTTGAATTCTAATTTAGTAACAAATATGCACAAGCAAAAATGCATTAATTAATTAATTAATTACACAATCAATTATATATCTACAAAAATACAATGCATTCAGAATAGCAGATATTAAATAAAAACCAAATACCTTTAAATGCTGAGATAAGTTAACGTCACTTGATGAAACGTACAAGTCGTTCTAAAGGTAGTTTAAAAAAACAATATTTCTATTATTAGTTTGCATTGATTATGAAATTCTTCGAAAAAGTTCAATTTTAAGTCACAAATATTTGATTCCATTCGTTATTATTAAATTTTCATTGCCAAGTTAGCAAATATATGAGGCTTTACAAAAGTATTGCAAATGGGAAACGAAATGGCAACACTGCCTAAATTAACCCCAAAGCGTCACCTCATGTATCAATTTCTTCTTTCAGACTTGAAGTGACAAATTCATTTGAATTTTAAATTTAACTCCTACGCAGGAAGACGAAGAAAATGCAAATATACTGATTTTTATTCGGCTAAGAAGCCACATGCTTCTGAGTTTTGGCTGTATAAAACATTAGTACTTGCTTCTCATTTTGTTGGCACCTTCTAATTTATTTTTATAAATCAATTATGTACAACTATAAATCAACCACAATTAGAGATTACAGTTTTAAGATCGTATTATTTGCTAATTAGAAGGAAAAAATTGTTGCGAAGTTCACTAATAAATATTGAGGTATTTAGAACCATAGCATTTGTCTTTTCATTTGTAGATTATGCCAATCTGTGGTGATCATTGAAATTGG